TCCCTTTTATGCGCATGTCTCGCGTTGACACGGGAGCCGAGGCTAAAGGCTATGTTCTTGGGGCGTCAAAAGGGAAAACAAAATCAGAGCCGCACAACCCCCCGCGGAACCTCTGTCCCCTCTCAAATTAAAGCGAGAAGCCGTACCGCGTGCTACGCTGCACAGCGTGCAAAAGTCGCAACGGGGTTACGAAAGATAGACCATACAGTTCCACCGTTACTTAGCCTGGCCTGCCACGTGGGCGTTCAGCGCCGCAAACAGGTAGTTAATCAAACCGCCGATATTGACGCCGTGGTACCATGAAAATTCCGATCGAAAGCATCCGAATGCCCCAAAGCAGAGCGGGCTGAACCAGACGAAGGAGAGACAGACGAAGGCGAATGCCGCAAGGTCGAGCAAAATCGCCAACTTCCAGGACTCCTTTGCTGCGCCCAGGAAGAGCGCGGTGAGTCCCGACAGGACGCCGAGAAAGAGCATCGCCCACGCAGCTTCCATCGGGGCTAAGTCGAGTCCTGCCGCATTGGCTGCATCAAGGATCGGAAACAGAGCATCGCCCATCCCGCCCAGCGCGGCGGTACAGAGGGCGAGGGCGATGATGTTGTTCACGACGAACCACATCTTCGCGGGGCAGGGCGAGGGCTTTGCGGTGTCCATCGCAGCGGGCCCCGTAGCCGACGATCGTGAGCTGGACAGCCGCTCGCCCTCCGATTCTGCGCGGTCCGGAGGTGGCACTTGCCCTGCTTCAGTATCCACCGCAAGGCCCGACGAAGCAGAGGATGCTGATTTCGTGATGGCCGGTGCCGCGCGAGTCGATGATCGCCTCGAAGCGAACGATGCAGCACTCACACGTGCACGTGAAACCCTCTCCGAAATGCGCTCGTGCAGGTCGTCGTTGTGAGTCGCCGGCACAGCGAACGGATCGGTGGTCTTCATTCCTCCCACGTGCGTTGAACCACTGCAGGCGCCCGCCGACGCCTGGTCCGCTGGGAGCGTTGCTCCAGCAGGGGACTGAAGGACACGCCAGCACTCGTCTGCCTGCTGTGCGAGGCTCTTCCCCTTGACTGAGACTCCGAGCGCAACGCAGCTCGCCTCAACAAGCTCCACCAGGTTGGTGCCCGCGACGCCGAGATCCCTCCTGAAGACATCGCCCATCTCGGCGAGGGTGGGCGTGCTCGAAGCACCAGGCGCGCCCGGCACTGCGTTGCCAGTAGCTGCCCCGTACACAGGCGCGCCGATGACTGGCGTGGGCGAGGCGGAGCGTTCCGAGGCACAGTCTGACCCGCGGTCGGAGCTGCGGTCGATGCCGCCCGCCTGCAACTCGTTCTGCTTGAGCGCCTCAAACTCCTCCCGAGTCAGCGTGCCGTCGTTGAGCAGCCTCTTCAGGTTCTCCAGCCTTGCAAGGTCCACCATGACGGGGGAAACCGCCTGGATGGACGGTCGAGTTCCGGTGACATCCGGGTGGCAGTTGGGCTGGGGGATGGGGCTACCCCTGGGGCCACCCAAGGCGGCACGACCCCCAGCAAAGCAAAGCAGGCCCCACCATCGGCGGCGAGGCGTCCAACTGTCCAACTGCATTCGCCTTCGCCTCCGAAGGCGCTGCAGGCGGCGCAGGCTGCCTTTCTGAGAACGCTGTGCGGCACCGCTGCAGGCGAAGCCATTCTTTCTTCGGGCGAGCACGACGGCTTCTAAGGAAGCCGTCGTCTGCGCCTTGACCCCTGCCTGTCGTGTGAATCGTGCGTGTGCGACCGCCTGCAGCAGGGAATTCTTTTTACGATGGTGAAACTTCGAGGCCGTCCGGCTGTAACGACTCGGCCGTCCATTATGTGCGACAAGGCGAGGGCCTCGTCCTGGTCCGCTTCTCCGCTCTCGAGCCTCATCTACGAGCGTCAGCTCGTCGACCGCCGGCCGCTCCTCAGCAGTTTGTCCGACAAGGCGCGCATACCGCGGCACGCCCTCGCCGCCGGCGTGCCGAGCGCTCGAACCTTCTACTCGGGCTCTAGCTGCGCGGCGGCTGGCCTCGCCTCGCTACCGCCCGACTACGTCCTCAAGGCGACTCACACGAGCGGCTGCGTCGTCGTGGTCAGGGGAGGGGTGGTGGTGGCGCATAAGACTTGCCGAGGCTACGGCCAGAGTGTCGTGGGCGAGGAGGCATCGCCGGCTCTGGTGCGGCGGCTGTGCGAGGCGTGGCTCGCCTTTGGCTTCCAGGGGCGAGGGGGGCGTGAGTGGGCGTACTCAGCCGTGCCGCGCGGCGTGCTGGCGGAGGAGGTTCTGCCGGCGCCACACTCCGACGCGCAGGCGGTCGCGGAGGACATCAAGTGCTGGACGGCGGGCGGAAGAACCCTCTTCATGCACCACACCCGCTCCCGCTTCGGCCATGCCGACAAGCGAGACACCTTTTACGACGCGCTAACGCTCCGCCCCCGCCTCGACATCCGTTTTGGGGCGGGGCCGTTCTGCGGACTCGGCCACCTCCTGGGCATGCCCGCCGCGCTCTGCCTGCCGCACGCCTCGCGCGCCGACACGAACGCCTCGCGCTGGCTGAACGCGAGCGTGGTGAGCGAGGCGGCGCGCGCGTGCGACCGCGTCGCCGCCACCACTGGCATCGACTTTGCCCGCATCGACCTGCTGCTCGCCGGAAGGGCGCCGTCGCGGCCGCGCGGGCTGGTGCTCTCCGAGGTGACGCTGTACCCGTTCGGAGGCCGCCCGCATCTCTCGCCACGCTCGGTGGATGTCGCGCTCGCAAACGCGTGGTGCGAAGCGGGCGGACCCTACCGCTCGCCGCTAGCGCTGCCGCAGTGAACGGGAGAACCAGAAGTGAACGCCGTAAAAACAATAAAACACAAGATATGTGCTACCACCCAAGACAGCTCTTGCCGAGACCTCGTCCCGGTAACGCTACATTTCGTAACGATGGTCGCTATTGGCCGTCGAGTGCACGGAGCTAAGTGCCTCGCCGTCCTCGCGGGAGTCGCTTAGGCGGCTCCAGTGGTGTACCTGTGTTAGTGCCAGTGCGCGCCAGTCCCGTGCCCAGTGTCGTGCGGGAGTTTTGGCCGCGGCAAAATTCTTTTTCCTGCGATGTCTGACCCGCCGCGCCGCAGCTCGCGCCGCATCGCCTCCGCCACCACCGCCGCTCCCTCGCCGAACACGCCGCCGCCCGCCCGCCTCCTCGACCTCCCCAGGGAGCTCCTCGAGCGCGCCCTCTCTCGCTGCGACAGCCCCGTCGACATCGCTCGCGTCGCCGCCGTCTCGCTGCTCTTCCACGCCTCGCTCGCGGAGCAGGGCATCCGCTTGTGGGCGCAAGAGCGCGGCTTCGAGCTGCCGGCGAAGCCAGAGGACGAGAACTGCGCCGTGCGGTGGCTGTGCTTCGCGGCGCTGCTGCGCGAGTCCAACCGGCCGGCGAGGGCAGCAGCAGGCTCCTATCACAGCTTCTTCATCGACGGCGAGGGGCGGCTCTCGTCGTGCGGCTCACCGGCGACCTGGCTCTTCTCTCCAGGACTCCTCGGGCACGGCGAGGGCGTGACGCGGCTCAACACGCCGACCCGCCTCCCTTCTCCGCTGGGTGGCGAGCGTGCCGTGAGCATGTCGGCTGGAGCCGCGCACTGCCTGGCCCTCACCGCCGACGGCGCCGTCTGGAGCTGGGGCCACGGAGGCCAAGGCCGGCTGGGCCACGGCGACGCGCAGCACCAGCTGCTGCCCAAGAAGGTCGAGGCCTTTGCTGGCCAGCGCGTCGTCGCTGTGTCGGCTGGATACTTCCACAGCCTCGCCCTCACCGCCGACGGTCGTGTCTGGAGCTGGGGCTATGGACGCGACGGCCGGTTGGGCCACGGCGACGAGCAGCACCAGCTGCTGCCGAAGAAGCTCGAGGCCTTTGCTGGGCAGCGCGTCGTCGCCGTGTCGGCAGGGCGGCACCACAGCCTCGCCCTCACCGCCGACGGCTCCGTCTGGAGCTGGGGCGATGGAGACTTCGGCAGGCTGGGCCACGGCGACGCGCAGCACCAGCTGCTGCCCAAGAAGGTCGAGGCCTTGGGGGGGCAGCGCGTCGTCGCTGTGTCGGCTGGAGGCAACCACAGCCTCGCCCTCACCGCCGACGGAGCCGTCTGGAGCTGGGGCCAGGGAGCCTTTGGCAAGCTGGGCCACGGCGACGAGCAGCACCAGCTGCTGCCGAAGAAGATTGAGGCCTTGGCTGGCCAGCGCGTCGTCGCCGCGTCGGCTGGAGGCATGCACAGCCTCGCCCTCACCGCCGACGGCGCCGTCTGGAGCTGGGGCAGTGGAGGCTATGGCAAGCTGGGCCACGGCGACGAGCAGGAGCAGCTCCTGCCAAAGAAGGTCGAGGCCTTCACGGGGCAGCGCGTCGTCGCTGTGTCATCGGGAGATCGCCACAGCATCGCCCGCACCGCCGACGGAGCCCTCTTCGCGTGGGGCCAGGGCGAAAGCGGCTGCCTTGGCCACGGAGAGGACTTGTCGGACCAGGTGCTGCCGAAGAAGGTCGAGGCGTGGGCGCCGCCGCCGGGGCGCGGTGTCTGAGCAGGGAAGGCGCGTGTCGCGTGAGAGTGCGTCGAGCAGCGAGGCGCTTTTGCCCCACCACCACGTTGTGTGTGTGGAGAAGTTTGCCTAAACCCAGCCCCCGCACCTCCTGTACACAACGTACTTGACTCTCGACGACTTGGGAAGCTATATAACGCCGCGCGCCGGTCGCGCCGCCCTGGGGACGCAACGCATGGCAACGGCATGGACGCAACGCTCGACTAAAGGATCGCCCCCATCACACCCTCCCCTACTGTACGCATGCTGCTCCCAAGTATACTGCACGCACGCCGCTGCCTCGGCCCCTCACCGGCCCGCCGGCGAGAGAAGTTTACCTTCCCTTACCTTACCGCCGGCGAGTGCAGCTCGACGAGCGGCGAGACGACCTGCGGCCCGAGCCTAGTAGAGAGAGAGACACCAGGACTCAGAGGGGGGCGCATCAGGAGGAGACGAGACGGACTGCGGCTCGGGGGAAGGGTGGGGGGGGGGGGTGGGGGGGGTGGGGGGAGGAGGGGAGGGGGGGGCGGCGAGGGAAGTGTAGG